GAAATATAATAAATTTGAAAGGATTTGAGTAGATTTATTATAATTGATAAATATAAAAAATGAATAATAATTTTTTTAGTGTAATGACCAAAATATCCTTGTTATTATATTAGATAAATTAAGTAGAAATAATATCTATCATATAATTAAATATAAGAATATTAATTAATTTATATTATACATAATATTTAAATATATCAAATATAATTAAATAAATTTATATATTAATTATAAAATATATTTTATTGTAGTTTAAATTATATATTTAAAATTTTTAGTATTTTAATATATATTTAACAAAGTAAAATCATATTACCTCCAAAGAAAAACAAAGATTACTTGGATGTTTTGTTAGCCTATCGTGAATGGTATTATCTAGCTTACACCTTTTTTTTTAAGAACTAGTTATTATCTTTTTAAGTCCCTCGATTACATTTTCTTTTTATGACTAGCTAGTCTTTGGAGAATATTTAAGCATTTGATTTGGGAGTATAAGACTAAATAAGTTGATTAAAAATGGATGTCAAAGTAATTAGTGATATATTAAGAAAGTGTGACAAAGTACTTGGTTGCAGGAAATATTCACAGCAAGGACAGACACAACTATAAGCACAATCTTATTGGTGATGACAAAGCTTTTGCGCAACCCAAGAAAAGAAACACATTATCGAACATGACTCACTACATAAAAAATCAATTATGTATAACACATATTCGATTATGTCACACATATAATATTTGATTATGGGTCAAACATTATCGAATATCCAATCAGTATTAATAAATTATGACACAAAAATAAACCATCTTCATTTCAATTATTCATGTGTTGGTAGTTTCATTACTGATATTTATTAGTATGGAGTATAGCCAAGTGGTAAGACATCAATTTTTTGTACTAGTATGCCAAGATTTGAATCCTTTTACTTCCTATTATGAACACCCGATCGGATTTGTGAACGACCTAACAACTATAGGGGAAGCGGCTGATTGCAGTTCCTGAGTCTAGCCCAAGAGGGAGGAATGCAAGGTTCCCTAGCACTTCATGGGACAGGCGTTTGCAGTCCCTCTCCCTCTAATCTAACTCTCTTCATATGAATTTGAGTGGTATTTATTACAAGTATCATGTCCCAATATGCACAGAACTCATCAAGCAATAATTTAATGATATGGGAAAATGAGATATTTTGCCTGGATGACCCCACATTCTCATCACCCCCAAATATGCAGATGCAAAAAGGGGTGCATCATCTCAAATCGATCCCCGCAATTCTTCGTTCACACTATATATCTAGAAACAAACAAAACATAAAAGGGTATCTCGATTATAATAATTTTAAAATAGATAAATATAACATTGTAATATATTTGTTAGTAAAAATTAATTGATAATATGTATGAAGCATAAGTATAAATTAATTGATAAAAATTGTAGCATATATGTATGATGCATGGAGATTTAGAGTTGTTTAGTTAAAAATGAATATCTCTTTAGCCACTTTTTTTTTCATTAATTTTTTTAATGTGTTATAAATCAATGGATGTTAATGATTAACAAAAATCTACTTTTTCTATATAAGAAAAAACATTGTATATCGAAATGATGAAAATAATTTCTATCTTCGTTTAACATTTTTCTTTCTTTTTTGTTTTTGTTTTAATTCTCTCATCCTATCTCAATGAGAACATTATTGAAATGATAAAAATTACTTCTGCCTTTGTTTGATTCATTCACAAATTTGGGGTTTTTCATCTTTTTACAACTCACTTATCACACCACACATCATTTTAATTTTTAAATATTGTATTTCAAATATCAAATTCAATTTATACTTTTTTTTTTCTTTTACATGACTATGGAGCAAATCACTAATTTGAATTTATTTTTCCACTTAAATGACTATATCTTATATTTATCTTACATTTTTATTATTTCATTCAACTTTTATACTCTCTTTTACTAATTGTCTTGTTCTTGTCTTTTCATTAAATTTGAAATAATAAATTTTGTGACCCATTTAATATGAATAATAAGAAAAATATTCATTAAATCTTATTGATTAGAGAGAAAATGGTATTTAATCATGAATGTTTAACCATATTAATTAAAGAGAAAACGAGATTTAATATAACTTATTTAATCATTTCAATCACTTGAAAAATAATAATAAACATTTTCATGTTTTTAATATAGTAAATTTTTTACTTCATTTAAGGGAAGAGTTAGAATTACGAGTAAATTTTCAATATTTTCTAAATGAATTTGGGACCAATTTTCATAGAAACAAGACTTTTTGGTTTTACTTATTTCAGAAAAAGAAATTGAAACGTGATTATTTTTCATTAAAACAAGCATAATTTTATAAATCCTTACAAAATATTTAAATATTTAATTTAAATTTACGTTATATATTGTGATCTAATAAAATATTATAATTTAAGTATTGTATATTGAATTAAATAACTGGCGAAATAACATTAAATAACAATATAAATTCTTTTTATAATTCACATTATATCGAAATTAAACCTATAATTTGTTTTTTTTCAATGATATTCTAATTATACAACACCTAGTTTCACATATTGTTACTTTATTAACTTATCTTATTGGACATTAGAATTCAAACAAAACTCTATATTAGGGTCAAAACCTATCGTTGATAATATTTTTACTTGTCAATAGCAAATGGAATATCATAAATGAAGGTAAATTAAAAATGCTTTAAATAAAAATGTATTACCTAAAATATATTGAAGAACACGAATTTCACATAGTTGATTGGCTTCTTTTGTATATAAAAGTTTTTACTGTTTGTGATTTTGATTGACTTTTTAAAGTTAAGGGTGAAATAAGATTTGAATGGAGTACATTTAATTGAGTTAATTTGCTTTGAGTCTTTTTTTTTTTTTTTTTTACCAATATAAAAAACAATTTGATTAAAGTTATTGGTTTAATGTGAATGGAGTTTTTTTATCTCTACTTATTATAGTTTTTAATTTATTCTGTATGTAAATAGAAAATTAATTTAAATCAAAACATTTTTAAGAGGTTTTTACTTTATATATTTAATATTTATTTATTTCCATCTATCCTTATCACCTTTATTTATTACTTGCTTTTCAACCCTTTTTTAAAAGAAATTATCAATAGCTTAAAATAACTTTATATCACAAAATAAGTTTTTTTATTATAATTTTAAAATATAACCTATATTGTAATTATAATATAATTTATATTAAAAATATTTATTTACCATAATCTTTTGTTATACAAAATAAACAAAAATATAACATATGTTAAAATAGTTTTGGTATTAATGTAAAATAAATATTATTTATTATTTTAATAGATAATTATTTATTTTACTTGATATTTATCTTGTAAAAATTACTATTTACATATTTAATTAGTTTATTTAATTTACACAAAAAACTTATCAAACTAAGACACTTGATATATGGATAAGATAATAATAAAATTAAAGTTAATAAAGAGTTATAAGATAGATTTAAATACTTAAGCTTTAATATATTAATCTAAAATTTTAACAAAGTTATTTATCGATCAAGTTGAAAAAGTTTAAAATTTGACCAAATTAATTTAACTGATTTGATTTAATTTTTATTTATTTATTATTTCAATTTTAAAATAACATGATTTTTTTTTCTAATAGTTATATCTTTCTTATCCAATCTTTAATTAATTTACACTCATACATTTATTATAAATTAAAAATTAAAATAGGTAGAAAAATAAAATATAATTTTATTAGAATAAAAATATATTGTATTTCTTATTTTATACATATAAAAATTAAGAATTTAATAAAACGAAATAGGGATACTATAATTTACAAACTTAAATGTAAATAAATTTAATTAATTTCACATTATTTAATATATCATTCTGAAAATATCCTTTGATTAATTATGATTCAATTTTCAATAAATTTTTTTCATTCATGATATCAAATATTAGTATTTAAAAATATTAAAAAATTAAGAATAATAAATTTAAATGATATCAGTTCACTTTCATAATTAGTATAAGTTTAATTATTTTCACATATATTTAATAAAAACTCAAATGAACACTTATATACCAAATGATTTTTCTTATACCATTAAAAGGGGGAATATTTTCTGCTGGGAATGATTTAAAAACACATAATGTATTGTAATTTTATATGTATAAGAATGTCCTCCAGACAAAAATCTTTTGCATTCTTCTATTTTTCTAAATAACCTTAAAATAACGTTGTCTTGTCAGAACTCTCCACAATAATAATATTCCAACTACATCGCTTTTGCTTCCCCTGAACTGGCGTAAACCAGAGCCCCCTGGCTTTGGTCCTTCGCTAGGGTTTGGGGATTTGTCATTTCCCATTTCGTCGCTTCTACGCTTTATATGATCACTCTTTCGCCTCTACAAGTTCCAATGATTTTCTTCTCACGGTTATAAACTTCTCAAGTTCAGAGGTAACTGCTTTATTCTCTTTTTTTCTTTAACTTCATATAAGTTACAAGCTCATGCACTTCATTTTTAATTGTTTTTTCCTAACGATGATCATGTTTTAGGAAGCCCAACACTTTTTTAAGATTGTTTGAGCATATGGGTATCTGGGTTAGAGATCAAGGTTTGACTTTTATTTGAGTTTTCCTAGTTTTTGAATTTGAAGGGGATGGGAGTCATGTAATTGAAAGTTGAGATCTTTTAAGATTTGGGTTTCGATTTCAGTATTGGAGTTTGGTTGATGTGTTTACTTAATCGATGTTTTGGTAGTCGTAAGGTTGTCAAATGGATATTTGGTGTTAATTTTGTTGGACTGTTGAGGATACTTTGAATTTCTTGGATTCAGTAACTTATCGGAAGTGAAAGTGAAACAGGGAAATTGAATGCAGTTGTTTTTGAGGGGTTTTATGTGATCTTTGTGGTTCTGGTTCGGTTTATTGGAGATCTTGAGTGGGACTTTGCTGAAGGCTGTGACTCTGTAACAATGCCTGAAAATCAGGGCTCTTCTTCGTCGTTGTCCTCGTTTGGTCGTTCAATATTTGGTGTCAGACAGGAGCAAGTTCATTCTGTGGAAGCAAGTCATGAATCCGATTCCTGTAATTTGGAACTTGGTTCATTCCAAAAGCGTGTTACAGATAGGTTTCAAGACCTTTCTGTGGCTAGTGATGAGGAATTTCTCTCAATTAACTGGATCCAGAAGGTCCTCAGTGCGTTTATCGTCTGCCAAGAGGAATTCAGAGCCATTCTGTTGAATAACAAAGAGCAGGTCACAAAACCCCCGCTGGATCGCATGGTTTCTGAATTCTTTGAGAGATCAGTGAAGGCGCTGGACATTTGCAATGCAAGCAGGGACGGGATTGAGAAGATTCGGTCATGGCAAAAGCATCTGGAAATTGTCTTCTGTGCCATAGGTTCAAGCAAGAAAGCATTAACTGAAGGCCAGTTCCGGAGGGCAAGAAAGGCACTGATGGATTTAGCATTGGCAATGCTTGATGAGAAAGAATCTGGATCAATTTTTTCTCAGCGTAATAGGTCTTTTGGGCGACATAATTCTAGCAAGGATCATCAATCAACAGGGCATTCGAGATCACATTCATGGAGCGTCTCGCGGTCCTGGTCTGCAGCCAAGCAACTACAGTCCATTGCTAATAACCTTGTTCCACCCCGTGCTACTGAGATTGCTGCCACAAGCAGGCTTGCAATTCTGGTTTATACAATGAACTGTATTCTCCTGATAGTTCTCTGGACCCTTGTTGCAGCTATTCCTTGTCAGGATAGGGGTCTAAGCATTCATTTTTCAGTCCCACGGCAATTATCCTGGAGCACTCCAATCACCGTACTTCATGAACGGATCACAGAGGAGTCAAAGAAGCGGGAGCGTCGAAATTCAAATGGCTTGTTGAAGGAGATACATCAAGTTGAGACAAGCAGCCGCCGCTTGACCGACCTGATAGATTCAGCTCAGTTTCCACTGGCAGATGACCAGAAAACAGAAGTTGATCGCGAAGTTACGGAGCTAAAGCATGCTTGTGAAGCTTTTAGAAATGGGTTGGATCCGTTGGAGCGCCAACTGAGGGAGGTGTTCCGGAAGATAATGACATGTCGAACTGAGGGGCTTGATTACCTTGGCACCTCAAGCCATACTGAACAATGAAAATGGTGGGTTGTTGATGAGCTTTCAGATGTACAAATTTGCGGAGCTGTGTACATTTTTTACATCTTATCATCTTTTGTTGAGAGGAGGAATGACTCGGCAAGATAAGCAGATAAATCTCTTGTAATGCATTGTATTAATCTCAGTACTTGTGTAAAAAAAAAAAAAAAAAAAAAAAAGAATTGTCAGGTTACGTATTTATAGTTCATAGTTTCTCTGCTTTCTTATATAAAATGGCGTTTTTGTTGAGATGGTTTTAATGCTGTAGGTAGAACTTCAGTTAGAAGGCACTACTTATATAATGCCTCGAAGTTTATCTTTTTGAGATTTTAAGTTCAAATTTTATTCCTTTTGTTCCCCTCCAATTGTAGGGAGGGTAGGGAGAAATTTTCAGTTTTACATATTTTTTTCTTACCACCTAATCTTTTTCTGAAGTAGTGACAACGTACGTTGAAAAGAAACGAATGAAGAGAAATTCATGGTGGCTGAGCAGAATTTGAGTCAGCTGATACAATAAAACTGTCTTAGCTATTTATATACGTCTATTTTATAATATTGTTTTTGTGATTTTAGTTTTGACAGTATTAACACGTTAAATTTCTATATACATACATATATATATATATATATATATATATATATATATATATATATATATATATATATATACATACATATATATATATATATATATTCAAAGAGGATGATGGACCCATCACAGGCCCAAGATTTAGCCCTTCAACTTCCATTGATGAGTATATTGGTGATTTGAGAAAATAATTTCTCATTAGTTTATTGAGATGTTTTCTTTTTTCTTATTTTTCACTTTTAAAGATATTTATTAAGAAATTTGTCCAAACATAAACTTAGTATATTTTTCTGTATGTCCTAGAATCTTATTGATTTCCTGTAATATTTCTAGACTTGAGAAAAGAAAATTGTTGTCTTTGTTTTTCCGTATTTGCAACTAACAGCTTATTAAGTCAATAGTACCAACCACAGCGCTGGGAAAACGTAGTAATGTATTACTAGAAACATTTAATAACATACTATACTACACATTTCTGATGGAAGGACTTAGTTTGGTTGAATCTATATATTAAGGTTTATTTAATCTGCACACATAAGTACAGAAATATGAACAAAACTATGAAAGAGTAATGAATCTGGTAATCTGCATACTAAATAATGAGCCCAGTAATATGTAAACTACATGAATTTTATTTCTACTGCTGGAATGGGGAAGAGATCAGTGTGGCACTAAAACAGTTGACAATTGATAGGACGGAGATAAAAAGGCACCACAATAAGTATTTTCTGAAGTAAAACATTTTGAATATCATCTGTCAGTGTACAACATTTTCTTTAGGATCCTAAGCCTACAGAACTAACTACTACTTCTATTACTTAAAACGACAAGGTAAACTCATGATTCTGTTTTTTGTACATACACGCCTACATCCAGTCTATTAGCCCAAAAAGGGTATCCCTATCCACAACCGAGAAAAAAAAAATTATATATATATATATATATATAACTACACACAAAAAGTATGTTCAATGGCCAAGGTCCCATGCATGTTTTCTGCTCTGCAAATTCCTCTATTTTCCCACCCCAATACCATTTTGTCTCGCGGGAGGATGGTGTTGGAAGTGTACTAACTCATGGAGTTTGGGCCCTTGATGGACTTTTAAATTGGCATCTCAGCTTTCAGTCCCATGTTTCAGTTCCAATGTTCTTGAAACTTCACTGTCTATCTAAATCAACAAGGTTACCTGCATTCCAAGTAGATTACTTCTGTACTATCTAAACAGCTCGGGAAAAGACCACATTATGAACTTTGCAAAAAAGTCAGATTCCAGGAACTCAATATGAGCTGTCCGTCCAATAAGTGTGTTTAAGTTCCTGCCATAGGAAGAGGTGTTGAAGTTGATGTCACAGCGCATGACTACGCCAGAGCAGGCTTGGATTTGGTCCAAGCAGTTATTCAGCATTTCCATAAAGATTTTCCCTCTTCTAGAGAAATCCAAAGAAGATGCTGGACATGGTTCTATTCTGGCCGAATGGTATGGAACATAGCCATCCTGACATATAACGAGGAGGGATCATTATGATATACTTGAAATGCTAAAGGAAAACTGTAACCAGGTTAAACCTTACAAAGAAGAAAAAAAGTTTGAACGGTTACCAAGCATTGAACTGTATAACAAGATTCTATCATTTGAAAAGATAAAAGACACTTGCAGAAGAGAAGAGTGTGACTAAACAGTCATGATATCCTATTTTGCTTTTCTCTTGTCAATACATAAGGTACATCTTTTGCTACATCTTCACCTTGTAGGAAATGATCTAGCATTTGAATGCATGATAACTTAAAATAATGTTGGAGAACTTCTTCTAATGTATGAGTTATAAACCATGAGGATTCCCATCAAAAGCATAGAAGGTTACCTGAGGTGAGGACAAAAGAAGCACATTCCGGAAATTAGCCAATGTCTTCTCCTGTAGACAATAATAAACAGTAAGACTAATAGCACTTGTGCCCCTATTTTCAATTCATTGAAATATAGCAAACGAAGACTAACAAAACATCTCTGTAGCTCCACTTATTCAATAACTTAACTCCCTTTCAAAAGCCGAAAAAACACATTGATTTCACAATTACAGAAAAGGAGTCCTAGATAAGAAGTTAAGGATCACACAACTTATAATCAAGAGCAAAATATCATGCATTCGGTACCTTGGAAAGATTATAGATGAAAGTATTCTCAAGATCAGGGTCATCTGTAAATGTAAGTTGGTGAATGCATTGTGTGCCCTTGAACTTCTTCAATATCCACAACCCTGAATTGAATAAAGAGTTCGAACTATACATATAACCCAAGTGCGGACCAGATATGGAGACATATGTTTGCAAGTATCTTAGATATGGCTCCATGATGCTCTCTGGAATTATTTAAGAAACAAAACACATTACTTTCCCTACTTTATTTTGCGAATAGTAGTGTCCTTAAAAATATTATGCATACATATACCTGTTAAGGCTGTCCTAATAATGAGATTCCCAATAGAATGACCAACAAAGCTAAGCTTGATATCCTTCAAGTTACCACTTCTTGAAGCTTTATCCATCTTCTTTTTCAGGAAGGAGATCACTTCCTGGGCAAGCCGTGATCCCATTTCTCTGAAGTCTCCAGATGTTTTATCTTCATTTGCCTCTGACATTAGAAATTGTATCTTGGGGTCTATCAAAAGCCATTGGTTCCGAACAAGACGTAAGTCCAAATGATTTCCCTGTGAAGTTGAGTCATGAGGAGCATACTTGGTCAAATCATCTATTAATGGGGAAAAACTGATTAAAAAGACAAAAACAAATAATAGTAACCAACAAAACTGATACAAGCAACACATTAAAGCAAGAACCCCATGAACCTTAACAAGGTACTATACACACTCAGCTTCTTTTATACAAAAAGTTAGTTTATGTTAAAATCAACAAACAAGAAAGAAGGAAAACATAATACAAAAATCAGGTCCAAGTTAATTATTGAGGGTGGTAGAAAATATAGCTGAAACTAAAACCAACAAGCCAATTTCTTTTTAGAAAATTAAGTAGTATTGAGCAGAGTTAGGTGCAAAATGACTCAAAAAACAGATAAAAAGCTCCTAGAAAACAAACAGCAAGAAAAACTAATGCCTATTTAAAGCAAGCAGCTTAGTTCTTAATCTAATTATGAAAGTAAATTAGTCTATAGAACCATTATAATTAGAGTAAATAGGGTAGGAATGAAAGATTAATTATTTAAAGTCAAATTTTAAATAGATTCATCCTTATACATACATACATACATATATATATATATATATATATATATATATATATATGATGAATCTTGAACTAAGCTATAGATAATTCAAATTTCCTACAAACAGGTAACATTTGTATTTTTGGGAGTTAGAAATAAAAGATGGTAAATATTCATGCAGGAGTTTCAACATACATAACAGATCAAGACTAATAACACTTTATCACTATATGAAATGCTTAAAAATCCAGTACTGATACTTATTCAAAGTTGTATACATAATGTTGTACAGAGATGTGACAGTGAATGATCATACTTCTAAATCTTTTAAGTATTAACCAAATCTGTAATTAAACTGCATAATAGTTAATTTGAATAATTTAGAAAAGATACAGTATGCTGCATTTTTTTATGATTGGTGCTCTGTTCTTAAAAATACATGTTAAGTAAAACTTTTACATTTGTATAATAGAAATGTACACCCACAGATTTACTCCCACAAGGATACCTTCAAATAAAGTCACAATAAAATCACAATATGAAGTACTCTAGTTAATGTTATATTTATCAGTAAGAAATAGAGTTACAAAACAGCCAAATCCTAACAAAGGAAAAGCCAAGATAATTGTTTGCCAGAAGTTTCAAAGTATAATAGCAAGAAAACCCATGAAATCAAACAAGTTGTTCCTCTAAGCTTCTGTAATCTAAGTGGCTAGATAACCTTAGTGTTAAAAAACTTCACAAACTACAAACATGGACACAATTTGATACTGTTTCCTGCAAAATATTTAAAAGCAGGAACTGCATATGGTATTTTATTGTATCAGACAGCAATGACATGGTTTTGAATTCTACAATTTTTTATCCCAGAACATAAATTGCCGTTTCACTTTAAAAGAAAAGTACAGCGGTTTGTAACTTCTAAAAGATTGAAGACCAGAAGTAATAATAAACAGGGAAACAAATCCTAGATCAAGGAAGATAAAAGCAACTGCAAGAATGTGAAACATGCCTGAAACCCATGAACAAAAACAACTATTCTCAAAACAAGCTCATTTTGCTGTGAACTACTACCACACAACTTCTTTGTGACTCTGGATCCATTTTCTACGATACGCCTCCCTTCATCCTCCAAAAGATTGGAGTTTGAGTTCACACTGGCAGAATGGTACACATTTTCCAGGCGTTCTACAATTATGATAGGAACCAGCAGAGGATCTCCAAATATATACATGTCTTGAAGTGACCGATTGTTGATCTGCATGGGATTCACATATATCATCAGATCCAGTCAGCTGAAACTATAATATTGCTCCAGAAAAAAAAAATGGCTTACTCTCATTTGAGCTATTCCCCGCCTGTGAAGTTCTGCGCGCATTGTTGCAGTTTGAATAGGCTGAATTGAAGAAAAAGGGACATACATATTTAAAGAAAACAACTCAGTAATGAAAACCCATATGACAACAAATCTAATAAATATTAAACAATAGATTATTACATCATCAGTAAACCTCCTTGTAAGTATTGAACTTCTATGTATACCATGGGGCAACAAAGTCCCCTCAACTCCATTGCTCATATTTTGATGAGGCATTGCAACTTTTGAGTACACCATCCATATTGACCATTCAGTTCTACGATCAATCACCCAGGACTTCTGCAGAAATTCCAGTATTTTTGTTTTGTTTTCCCTGGTTAAAATGAATAGGTCGAAAAATATTATTGACTTAAATTACTGGTGAAATGTTACGCTCAAATAGTTCATCATTTCTCACAAAATAACAGTCTGGCTATGCATTTACATTACATATAGAAACTGTACACTGTACAACAAATTTATGACAAAAAGCACCATCATTCTGGACAAGCTACTATCGCTTAGCCAGTCAAACAAGCTCAAGTTTGGCAAAAAACAGTAGGCAAGAAAAATAAAACTCAAACCAAAAGAAGACCAGGAAAAATAGTTCTTCGTTACACTATAATGATCAGAATGGATGAACAACTGTAGAAGCATTAATTAATTAAAAAAGAGCTACAGGACGTCAAAGCTGCCAAACTTAAATAATTATTTGGACATGAAATCACTACAATTATATGTACAAACCTGTGGAATTTCAGAAATATGTTCCAGAGACATGAGAGCTGATTCCCTAAAGACTGGAAAGAGGTTAACAGATGATCATCCCATGAAAAAGGTTGAAGTGACTTCTCAGTAAGATTATAGATATCATTAGCAGACTTCTGATTTAGGGAAAGATGGAAGTTGTAAGTCGGTAAGTAGTCTAAAACCACAAAGAAGCTAAAACAAATAATAAAATGTTGACATTGTCAGAATTAAAGACCTCAGCACTTTGTGTCATGTCAGACAGTTGAAGTGATGGTTCACCATCAACACTTTTCAAACAAGCTGGTGGAGTAGATGCAAACCATTCTGTAGCATCTGATTCAAAAGTAATTTCAGTCAAATCAATGGCTTTGCCAATGCCTGTGCTTATTCTTCTCAAATCTTCAAGCAGGACATCATATGCAGCCATCAATGCTTTGATGAGTAAAACCTAATTTGAGTTTTGACAATCAGAAAAAGAATAAGTTACAACAGTAGGCAAAGAGATTTTTCAACAAAATTAAGCTTGTCAAATAATATGAACCACAACTTTGCAACTTAAAATACCGTAAAACAAGAAATATTGTTATCATGTGATGTAACCTATACACAACTTAACATACCTTGTTTGACCCAACATAATCTTCAACATAAGCACCTTCTGAACCTCGGGAATCACTGGAATAGTTCAACTAATCATATCATTCAAAAGCTAAAACAATAATACATTATGTACAATAAGTAAAAGAAACATAATTAAATTATGGCTGTTAAAATTATAAGGTTTAGATAGTGAATGAGAAGAAGAGAGCATGGTTATACTAATCACTAACAAGATGAGATTAGATTTGACTTAATGTTGCATAAAAGCAAGCAGCCAGTCTCCAACGCCTATTTAGACTCATAACCTAAGTAGTACTAGCCCAAGTCCATTAATACAATAACACACCTCACCCTAACCAAACAAGGAAACAACTACTACGATTATTCCTTGCTTAGAGGACTAACTGATTCTAATGATATATTCATGATATTCCAACAGTGATGATGCAATGGTTACTTGAGTATATATTTGAACTTCAAAAACTGGATGTTCGACAAACCTGGATACCTTCTGTCGAGAGGTGTGATAACTAGCTTTTAGTAGGCTGATGTGAATGCTTGTATCAACAAGGACAGCATGGAAAGCGTCAAAATGAACAGGACAATATGAATGCAAGCCCCGAAGAGCTTTAGGGGGGATTTTATATTCATGAACTGAAGCAGCATATGCATCCAGTGAACCTTGTAACTCAGGCCTGCACAATGATGAAATAAGTCCAGATTTAAAAACCTCAAATTCACATGATCATAATAATAAAATCAAACTAAAAATCAATATCATAAACTAGTTTAGTACACTAGTGCATCAAAAAAGGGAAAGGGAACTACTAACTAACCCAGTTCCAATTATAGGAGCATGCATGAGTTCAAACTTCAAGATAACCGAAGAGGGTTGTCCCTGTGCTTTGTCAAAAGCCAAAAAATTGAGACAGAAGAAAAATAAACTGTTAGGCTCATGGGTGCACATCAATTAAGCAGAAAGTCACAATGATTTTTCTTAATTATAGATTATTATAATGAAAGGAGAGCAGAAATGTATCCTATTTCTTTGCTCGACAGAAGTAGAAATGTATCAAATAACAATGAGCTCATGAAGACAATTGTATCCAATAACTAGTAAAATAACAAGACATCATTAAAAATATAGGTTTTCCTTCCCCAACCTAATTCACCAGGGAATAATGACATGACTTACTCATGATGTAAAGGGAAAACTTTGCAATTATTCTTTAAAGCTCATTGCCTCTGCCATCAGCTTATTGAATGAAGAGGGCAGGAGGAAAAAAGGTGCCAATGACATAATCAGATATCATGGTAAATTGTGAATAATCAGTGTCAGATGATATGCACCAGTACAGCCATCAGCAACTTGGATCAGTGGGCATGCACTTCTTTCAATATTGATTGACACAATCAAAATCAATCATTACAGTAAATCTTTTGGCTTGCTTAAATGTAGGTATGAGATCTTGGCATTGAGTGTACATTTATTTTCATTGTTCTTTGTTCATATTCATTATAATTTACACAGGGTGTAGTTAGGGCCATTCTACATCTTTCAATAATTTAAAATTCATTTTGCATGATTTTGTCAGGAGGAACATATAATCAGCATTACCATGTTACAACATATGATATGGCACTTTCAAAAGGTCATGTTAATATATGAGCATTATATGCTGTTAAATTGTCCTGCCTTTGACAAGATCTTCTGTACATGTTCAGGTATGCTATACTAGTTTGTTTCACGAAAAATAAAAGAACCTCCTCCATTTCATACACAAATTAGTAAAGGGTTATATCAGTAAATCATACAAAAAGTGAGAAAAACTGACCTCATATTCACCAAAAGACAGGTAGAATGAGATCATGATGGCAAGAAATACATCCTGTCTTGCATATTTAATATGGAATGGCGGTGTTGAAAAACTGTTGTCGGTATCATCAATCATCCAGACTCTACATAAATTGTCAGAACCCACTTCAGGAGCTGCAGCTCAAAGAAAAAGGATGGATTCTAAGTTTTACACTATATGTAGAACAGTTTAACCAAATATAATGCAATACAACAAATAGAGGACAAAATAATTATTCAGCATATCAAGCTTGTGATTGTCAATGTTCATGTATACTGAAAGTGTACTTAGGTTTACAATAGTAAAGTTTAAAGAGATTAGGAAAGTATTAAATACAATCAACGAAAGCCACAAGTTCGGTAAAACTACAGACAAAAGTACAAGAACTGGTATGTTCAAATTGTTTTGCATACAGGCATCCATTCAGTTGCAGATAACTTATTTCTGAATATGGCAAACAGAAATTAACATTGGAACACTCAATCGGGAAAAAAGAAAAATGGTAGAATTCTTACAATGATTAAAACAAATTATGAGAAGTTCAAGCTCTATTTGGTTATATAGTCTACATTTATTTTATATATATACATAGGCAGACGATAGAAGAACTTCAAAATGAGTTTGATTCCATATTACCTATACTCAATTAGAGATAACAACCAATGATTTGATGTTCATTTGATATAAGTTTATCTTCTGAAATCCTAAAATTTGAAATGTATCATTCTCTCACAAAGAATTCATTAGATATCAATATCTGAACAGACCCTGAATTCTTACAATTTATGTAAGAGTCTAATTCAACTCGATCTGTCCACTACTGGTATAAACTATTTTGATCATATTACTAGTCAATAGAGGATCTCCAACAACTGCCATGTTAAAGACTAATCATTGATATCTAAACAAGAATATTGTCATATTGGAAAAAGCCAAAGTAACTACTACTTTCAGAACAGTCATTCCAGTAATCTCATTGTGCTTCTAGCAGCCTTCTTTATGTGTTCATACCTCCCTAATGATTTTCTATCATTTTTTTCCTCAATTGATGCTACACCAACATCTCCCCGTATGCAGTCCTTTCATACAATGTCCTTTCTTATGTAACCACACATCCATCTCAACATTTTTATTTCTACTACTACAACATTTTTCCCATGATGATCCTTTAAAGTCCAAAACACACTACCATTGAGTATAACCATACGTATAGTTGTCCAATATATAATTTCGGCATGTACTTTGCAATGACAAATAACCCCATAATGTATTTATCCATTTTAATCGTCTTCTATATTTTGTGTGACGCCCTCATTAATATGTCCTTTATTATGTATTACAGGTCAAAGATATTTAGCTTAGAAATTTGTTGTATGACATTTTCTCTTCTTGTAACTTCAAAGTCATATTTCTCTTGACTCCTGTAAAACACACAAGCTATAACATAGTTTTCAGTGGTTACTTAAACATAATTTAGACCTTTGATGGTTAAGATGAACAATATTTCTTTTAATAATAAATATACAAATAAAATATCCATTACAGCTTGACAAGGTAGTTTTCCAGTTCACGCTTATAATGAGTGCATTTCATTTTAAAGTTTTGTTCCTTGGTTTAGAAGCTTTTAACATAAGCCTTTTTTCCATTTATGTATGTCTTGTTATGGTAAAACATGCAAACAGCTTCCTGAATAATAATAACTCAGGTTACAGTTTTTGACTGCTAAGAAGTAAGAGCAAACTTCACTTCAATAAGAGACAACTACAAATCCAAGTATTATTTCACAAAGAAACAATAAAGTTGATTGCAGCTCTGTCACCGGTATTCACACATGATACATATACACATTTCATATTCAATATTTACATGAAAAGATACACATGCAAACTTCATACTCACAAACCCTTCACTGCACAACTCTGGCAGAGAAGCAAGTAATCCATTGGTTTACACTCGCCCAAATTTCTGTCACTAATTGTTTGGGGGATAGCCAGTGTGAAGTATTTCGATGCACTTAGGGGAGATGTATGGCTTCTATATAATCCCTGTAGTTTTGGATGACTATCCAGGCTTCAATTTAAAATATCAAATACGAAGTCTATAAAAAATTAACGTACTTATAGACAGCTTGGTTTTTAAATATTTGAGATTAGCTAAATAAACCATTTCTGCAACCTCTACAAACAAGTATCAATGATAAATACATTTAGTAAGAAAACTTATTACAAGTATCGTATGTCTCATTTAGTTTGAAAAACTTGTTCACAAGCTCATTACAACTTGATACACGACAAGAAGATAAGTTGACTTGAAATATTGTTAGCAATCTAGCCCATGAGGTTACAAAGAAGTCCAACTTGATAAGACTTTGCTTGATGAAATATAAAATTAGTTTGTTTGCTTCCATGAAGGAAAATAAGTATAACAGCCGGAAGAAAATCAAATATTCCCGTTATATTCTCTTTTGGTTACCTGATTGTGCAGGGAACCAATGATTTGTCATTGTACTGACTATATATATTCCGCTAAATGATTGCATAGAAGCTAGAGAAGAATGAATTTTATCATAATTTTGTAGTCATTTAGCTGTTTTTGCCTTTCCTTATTTACAATATCATATCAAGTGGTCTAACCTGCCATGGCCAATCACAATAGCTGTAAACTGGCCGACAACCACTTTGAGGAAACCCTACACCGCCTTACCCAACACCAAATGTGTCTTCATTTACTACCTTGACTCTTGCTTCACCTCCTCACCTCTACCATCACACCCTCCCCTTATCAAAACGAAGGTTCCTCAATGCAATGGCCACGCCATGACCCTATGGGGTGAATCTTCAAAATCCAACATTTTTACTATTATCAAGGCCCTCTCAATGAAAAACAGATTAGGATTGCTTCTTTCTATATGGATGGACCTGCCCTGAGTAGGTAATAATGAATGTTTCACACTGGTTTCGTGACATCATGGCAAGGCATGTCGCAAGCTCTTGAGTCTTGTTTTGCTTTGTCTTACTATGATGATCCTAAGGGAGCTATTTCCAAGCTTACCTAGCATGACTCAGTCAATTAACACCTTATCGAGTTTGGCTAATCGTATCATCGAGTTAGCTCCAATGTTCCTTTTAAGTTGCTTTATTTTCGATCTCTCATAGGAAATATACCATGAAGTCTAAGCTATTCAGCCAATGTCAATGACATAAGATATAGCTCTTGCCAAGCTACAAGAGGACCAAGTGAATGATCATCATCGAAGCTCTCATGCCCCTTCCCATGCCAAATGCCGTCATCCTCCACATCTCATTTGCTTGCTCTCTAAGCCCCACGAAAACCTCGTTTCAAGGATATACCTCCAAAGATGTTGGCTTCTTGTTGCAAACATGGTATGTACTATTACTAAGAGAAGTACTACATTGACCATCGTTGCAAAGTTCATGTTGTCTTACTCTTGGCCATTGACTATGACGGCACACAAACATTTTTTATTTGATGTTCCTTCTACTCCAACCATAGAAGAGTTGATCAATCCTTTGATAAGTTTCAATCCTTTTCCAGCATCCCAGCACCAAACACATTTTGCCTCTGTGGATCTATCATCGGGTCATGCATTTCCATCCTCATCAATGGGGGAAAGCACACACAATTTTATTCAATTGAAGGTCATAGATTTTCTGAATCTGCCTTGTTCCGCCATGCCTACCCTTTAAGTCATGGTCTTAAATGGCCCTATTCTGGAATGCAATCATTTTTGTTTGAAGGTCCCTCTCCTCATCCAGGACATTCATTTCCTTGTCCTACCAATTAGTGGCAAAGGCATAGTATTAGGTGTCAAATGGCTTAAGAACCTCAGTCCAATAACCAGCTACTTTGGGAACACTAGCACAACCTTAACAACATCTATCAGCCTGAGGACAAGGTTGGTTTTCTAGAGGAGGGAATTGTGAGCAATCCAGCCATAGGGTACAAAAACTCCAGTTACTATAAAGACTTTTTTGCTCGATGAATTAAAAAATTAGGTCATGTTTGCTGACATATGGGATATAATACAAGTATACCAGCCTGACATAATCAAATCTTTCCTTTCTTTTCTTTCTTTCTGTTACCTGATTGTGCGGGGAACTAATGATTAGTCGTTGTACTAACTATATGTTCCTCTAAATGATTGAATAGAAGCTGGAGAATTTTATCATCATTTGTAGTGATTTAGCTGCTTTTAACTTTTCTGATTTACATTACCTTGTCAAATGCCAAGTGTAATTTCCATGTAAAGAACACATTTTTGCCCGGTTCTAACACACAACCTTGATGACACAGCCACATGATCTCAATGAACCCGAAATCCATGTCTTCAATAAAGTAAATTAATCTAGTACAGCAAAACTTATTACAAACTAAACTACAGCAAATAGCTGCACTCAACACTAACACTTTAAGAGATTAGAAAGACAAGTCACCTTCATACTGAACAACCCGCGCCGGAATGCCGGGATAAGACTCTTCATCATCCTCCCATCTCATGCTAACCTTGATTTTGTACCATCTACAGCGCAGTAATAAGAATAAAAGACCAATAAAAAGCTGAAAGGGCAACAAGAGCATCATAAGGGAAAAAAGTGCTACAGAAAGTGAAGCTCAGTGCTTACCCTTGTTCAAAGAGGTCAAGATTATGAAACCTATGAATGTAAATTGCAACCTCGTGCACAGCATCGAGCATAGGCAACTGGTTTGGCCTTGCAGGGCCAGGTTGTTGACGTTCAACATTGACCAACCTTTTGGTTGACCAATTCTTCTGATTCAGACCCACAAACCATTTAAGTCTCCGAAACATAAGTAGCAGTACTAGCAGCCGATACAGCAATACTTAAACCCCAAATGATCACTCATGCCTTCAATGAAAGTGGAGCAAAACCCACAAATCTGGAACCTAAAAAGGACCAACTTTCTCCCACCCACCTTCTTTTCAATGCATACCAAACCCATTAATGCTTTCTCATGCTTGAAAGCATCAAACTTTAAGTAATCTGTGAAGTGGATCTCGGTTGAAGCGTTTGATTGGTGGAGTGAAGGAAAAGATGGGACCTATATGAAAAAAAATAATAATAATAAAAAAAGTGAATGAATCGAAAGCGTGTGGAAACAAGAAGAACAAAGACGCAACTTTGATCATGATGAGGAGTAATAATTCATGACTTATATACATGTTGGCACTTGGCATGGCCCAAAAGGAACATCACTTTCGTCAACTCTTTTCGCAGGTACACTATTAATGAGCTTTTTTGTTTTTCTTTTTTTTTTTTTATAGAAGAAAAAAAATTAAAATTTTGAAAATGATAACATGGGATGTCGTGTCGGTGAAGACCTTAGGCCGAAAAGTACGGCCCTGTACTGAGATTGGTATCAGTATTGTTCTGTATGTATAGCACGTATAACGTTGTTTCTTTTCTGTTTCGCTATACGAGCACGAGAAAAGTGAGTGAAGGTTCCTTCCTACATTGGTTTCCTTTACCATTTTCAATCAATTTGATTTTGGTGGAATGGAAAATATGAAGTAATACTCATTCTTGCTATAATTACATTTTGAAGAATTTATTTCAAACAATTTTGCATAAAATTCATGATAGAGTAATTTTTCTTATGTTGTTGTGGTAGAAGGGTGACGAGCATTATGGTGATTTCTTCATTTATCGAATTTAATTATTTTTGTATTAATATAAAAATTCATTTTTATTAAATAAACTTGTATAACATGTAAACAGTCACAAAACATTCATGGAAAATATTTTTCTTCTGTACTTTACATAATAATTTATTAATCATTAATATAAATAATACAAAAAATTGATGTAAAAACTGTGTTTAAAGGAGACATATTCAATTATGTGTTTTATATTCAATTATTAATAACTGCATAATTGATTATGGTATTATGTATAATTGATTATGCAGTCTATCATAATCGATTACAGTTTATAGTTTGTTATCAACGGTGCTTCAATGTAATCAATTGATTTATGAATACAATAATTCAACAATAAACATATGGTTAAATAAAATTTACATGCTAAATAATTCAAAGAAACAATAAATTGCATAATAAGAACAACAAATAACCCCTTTCAAACCTCTTTTTCTTTGTTTTTAAAACTAAAAAATAGATGCTAAGAATGGAGGACAAATGAAAATGTAATGTATGTGGCATCTTCTAAACAATTGTAACAATAATAAAATAAGCCAACAATAAATGCATGGTACGAGCAAATTAGAAAATTAAATCAGTGAAATGTACAACAAATTGCATTCAACTACAAAGGACAAAATGTTCATTGGAGTGGGTGGATGAAAGAGATTAAAACACGGACCTCACTACAAACAAATTGAAAATGACTAATGGAAATAGAGGAAGAATGAAACCGCAACGTTTACTTGTCAGAATGATTGTACTTATGAATGAAGAAAACATGGTTCCTGAGATTATATTCAACTTATGAATAATACATGTCCATTCTAGTTCAACGTGCATAGTCATGCATAATCTCATGTTGTATACTATAATTTTTTTTTTCAACGTGTATCAACACACAACTCACTGTTCTTATAGAGATTCCATAAAGTGCATGTGTAGCTTTGAAAAAAAAAATCAGATAAAAAAATAATTTCACCTCAATTTTATATATTTATTCGTATTATAGAGAAAAAATATGTTAAAACTTTCCTTCTCTTATTTCCTCCTCAAATTAGTATTCACAATTGACAATAATACATTCATGAATGCAACACAAGGCTTAATGACTTTAATAAAAATTTAAGCACTTTCGTATTGTCATCATGTTCATGTAGTTGAAAATGTTTTTCTTGTACTTTGAAAATCATTAAATGTAATATAGAAGGGACGAGAAAGGCCTAGCCTAGTATTTCAACTAGTGGGATATTTTTTATGGAATGAGTTAGGTGGTTTCTCTGTGTTTAAGTGTCAAGAATACACTATATGCTAAGTTGATTACTTGCATGAATGTTATTGAAATAACTTTTACTAAAGGATAACATAAATAGATTGAAACTGATGCTATTATAGTTGTCTTCATTTTCTCTGCTCTTATATATTTAAAAAAATATACAATTACCAATATATTTATTAAAGAGGAGTGGACAAAAAGTTTATCCAACTTTTAAGTTCTTATAAAAAAATATAATTGTAAAATTCTCTAAAAGAAAGGAAAAAAAATCTGTTACTAGAATATAATTTAATTATATTATAAAGATTTATACTTAAATAAAATTCTCTCTCATATTTACCCCTAGAATGACAAATCTCTAAAACCTGAAATTTTTTATCAAGCACAGTTTGGTAAGATGTGACTTCTCTCTTTAACTTCAAAGAAAGTATAGTAAGACTTGATTTGGATAGTATTTCAATAAACACTTATAATAAATAAAAAAGTAAAATAAATTAATTAAATCCTTTTATTAAATTAAAATTAACTTCTACGTTTTAAATTTATAAGTTTTATCTAAATTTTATTAAAACTAAAATTTTAATTTACAAGAGAAATTGGATTAATTTCTGTTTTCTTTATATATATATATATATATATATATATATATATATATATATATATATATATATATATATATATATATATATATATGTAATGTTTGTAAACAAACCTAACTAACACAAAATATAATGGAATTTAGTTAAATTTCAAGATCGCAATACATCGATGTACCAATGTGTTTAGAACAACAATAACAATTTTAAAATTCTTATTCGAGCCATTAAAAACTTTACATTAGCCTATTGATTTGAACTAATATGAGTAGCTCAATCATTCAAACCAAACTAATTAAAATGGCTCAAAATGTTAGTTAATTAAATTTAATTTCAACCAAATCAAATCTAATATTGATTATTTCGAGTATTGAATTTATGATATAGAATGGAAACTAACTCAATATGTATTTTTTATTATCAACATTAAATATGATATTTTATAATATATATATATATATATATATATATATATATATATATATATATAATATTTTTGTTGCTATTTAATTTATGTAAGTCAATCACAATAAAAATGTTACATTCATACAAAAAATTATAGAAATGTTGATTATTTCTTTTATTTACATAATTATGTGTAGTTTTTTTAAATTAATTTTTGCATATTTTAATATAATTAAATTTAATTGATCCAAATCGAACTACATTCTTATTTAGATTGATTTAATTTAGATCTTGATTTAAAAAAATAAAAAATAAATCTAAATTAATAAAATTTAATAATTTAAAATTTTATTTTCTCTTAATTCCGATCCGAATTATTCATTCCAATTAACACTTAGTATGCGTTTGAATTTTAGTTTCCTTCAAATGTACGGACGCTTAATTTAAAGTTGTTCTGTTCTAATAGATTTCCAAACACGGTCTTAAAATGATTGGTTTCAACAGTGATTCATTTGGAAGTGAAAGAGAAAATGACAATAATGAAAGCCACCCTGTGAAGAATCTTTGCAAGTAAATGCTAATCAATACCATGTTGTCCAAGTGCCACCAGACATTATGATCCTCATTAAATTATTTTAATTCTTATAATTAATACTTGGTTTCATTTTTACACACTTGTTATTTTAACCAATCAAGTTATTCAAATTGTAATTTTAAAATTCATTCATTTAATTTTTAAAACCAAAATTCCAATACAGGAATTTCTTAGAGGATCCTATAAAATGTTTTTTTTTCTTCTTGTTGTCGTGCGTTGATAGAGAATGTACTAGGCAAAGGTATCATTTCATAGCAGAAATTTAGGGTATGTTTGAATTATTTAACATTCAAAAATTGAATAAGGAATTTTCTTCTAAATTCAAGGCTATTTCAATCTTATAAAACCACAAGATACTTAAATATTCCCCTTTTTTATCAGTATTATATTGTCTTAATACATAATGCATATTCGTACTTACATTTCTTATTTTTACTTGTATTTTATCGTTCTATTTTATTATTGGTTAGTAATAACAACTAGATTATAAACAATACATAAATATATAAATATAGAAAGAAAAAAATAAAATAAAAAATATTGAGATTTAAAAAATAAATTACTAATTTAAGTAATTTTTTAAAAAATTATATAAATTGATAAGTAGTATAATACAAACTTCATAAAGAATTCGTATTACTAAAAACGAATTTAATTTTTTATTTTTTTAATTTATACGTTTTTAATAATTTTTATTTTATATTTTTTAATAATAAGCATTTATATTTATTTTTTTATTATTAATATTTAATTTATTATAAATAAATAAAATAATAATACTAATAAAAAAAGAATTAACATTCAATATTTATGGCAAGTATTATTATTTTTATTAATAATATTATTAATTAATTATAATAATATTAATAATAATAATAATAATAAGTATTAACTATTCTATTTATAATATTTTTATCTTTAATAGTATTTTTTATTATTTATATCATTAATATTTATGATTTATGTCATTATTAATTCTATTATTTATTATTAAAATTATCATAATTATTTCTTATTAATTTTATAATATCATTACAATAAAAACTAAAAGTTTTTATTAAATATTAATAATAATAATTATTATTATTATTAACTAAAATAATAATATTAAAAACTAAAAAATTTTATTAACTAAAAATTTTCTATGAATACTTATTATTATTATATTTATATTTATTATAATTTAATAAAAGTATTGAAAATGATAATTATAATATAATTTTTTTTAGTTTTTAATGTTAGTTTTTTAGCTAACAGTAATAATTACTTAAGGATTTTT